CACCCGCGAGACACAAAAGTTGTCTCGCGGGAGCACCGAGTCCAGTGGGAGCGGGCGCAGAAAAAGAAAAAAAAACAAAAAACTGAGATTTTTAGGCTGTTTTTTTTAGTATAAATAGGAACTCTTCTTCTAGGGTTTTTTTTAAGAGAAGAAAAAAAAAAGGTTTCTTTGACGGCTAGAAAAGAGAGATCTTGATGAGAGAGTTTTGAAGAGATTTTACAAGAAAGAGATCAATTTTTTTGGGTAAAAAATCAAATCTTCTTCTTTTGAGACGAGCTTATGGATTGTACAAGTCGTCGGTGTTCTCCTCATAATGGAATCTCCTCTTCCCCTTCTCATGTGGACATAGACAAGTTTGCCGAGCCACGTAAATCTCGTGTCTTTACTATAATCTGAGTGTTGGCTATTGCTTGTAGGTTCCCTTGACAAGTCAGTCCTAGAACTGATGAGAGGAATAGTGTATATTTTACTTTGTTGAGATATTTTACTTTCTGTTCCTGTTTCCTTAGTAAAACGGGAATATAGAGGTTGGTTTAAGCTTTTATGACAATAAAAGCCAGGGCTTTTTCTCGGGTTATATCGCTTTCGCGGCGTGAGGACGTGACTCTGCACCCAACAATTGGTATCAGAGCTGTTATTCAGATTGGGAGTAGTGTAGCTTCTGGTTTGAGGGGGTGCTCGGTAATTTCCTGAGAGAAGCGGATTTATACAAGCGGAGGATGGCGTCAACTAGCAAAATAATTAAAGTTAGAAAGTACGAGATCGAAAAGTTCAATGAGAATAATGATTTTCCCTATTGGAGGATGCAGATAGAAAACTCGTTGATTTTGCAAAAAATGCACAAGGCTTTGGCTGGAAAAGAGAAGAAGCACAAAGATAAGTCTGATGAGGATTGGGAGGAGCTGGATCTGGAAGCACTGACATCGATTATCCTTTGCCTTGAAAGGGATGTAGCTTTCTTGGTAGATGGAGAGGAAACGACTGCGGGCATGTGGTCGAAGTTAGAAAACACTTTCATGACGAAGAGTCTAACGAACCAGATCTATTTAAAATCCAATTTGTATACTTGCAAGATGGAGGAGGGCCCATCAATCCGGGAATACATCAACAAGTTTGATAGGATCATATCAGACTTAAAGGACATAGATGTGACAGTTAAAGATGAGGATCAAGCGCTTCTACTACTTCTATCTCTGCCGAAGTCTTATGAGAATCTGATACAAACACTGATGTTTGTATGAGACAATTTGATGATAGATGAGACTAGAACGGCACTTCTAGAGGATGACCTCCGGAAGATTACAACCAATGACATGACTACTGATGGTAACAAAGAACAAGCGCAGAGATTTTTTTGCTAGAGTAAGGGGCAATGAGCGAGGAAAAGGCAACGGAGAAAAGTCTAGATCTAAATCAAGACCTATTGTGAAAAGATCGTGTTTTAAATGCGATGAAGTTGGGCATTGCAAGGTCGACTGTCCAAATAAGAGAGTAGGTGGGAAGAAGAACAACAATAAGACCGAGAAGAGAGAAGACAAGGAAGAAGCGAGCTATGTTTCAGAGGAAGAGAGCGAGAATGAATGCTATGTCGTCACGGGTGGCAATGATATCTCCGGGAAGTGGATTCTTGATTTAGATTGCTCTTACCATATGTGCCCAAATAGAAAGTGGTTTACTACCTACAGAAGCATTGATGGTAGAACCGTATTGATGGAGAACAACTATGCTTGTAAAACAATGGGGCTAGGTAATATCAAGATCAAGATGCAGGATGGAGTTCGACGAATGTGAGGCACATTCCCCACTTGCGAAAGAATCTTATCTCAGTTGGTGCATTGGACTCTGATGGTTGCAGGATTGTTACAGAGAACGAAGTGAAGAAGGTTGTTCGGGGTTCCTTTGTAGTGACGAAGGATGTTCGTCACGGTAATTTATATACTCTCTTAAGTACGACGGTGGCGGGAGATGCAGCGGTTGGAACTGAAGGAAGTGGTGGAGACCTATGTGAGCACACACGGTTATGTCATAGGTGACTTGGGCACATGTCAGAGAATGGTCTAGTTCTGTTTGGTAAGGAGGGTCTGCTGAAGAATCTGAAAAAACCTTGCATGGATTTTTACGAGGATTGTGTGTACGGAAAGGCACACAGAGTCCAGTTTCTGAGAAGCAAGTCTAAGAGCAGGAGGATACTAGATTATGTGCACACAGATGTTTAGGGTCCGGCTCAAACAACTTCCAAAAGGGGTTCCAGATATTTCGTCTCATTCATAGATGATTATTCGAGGTATGCTTGGATTTATTTTCTAAAGCATAAGAATGAGGTGTTCAAGACATTCAAGAAGTGGAAGGCAATGGTTGAGAACAGGACATGGAAGAAATTGAAGATACTGAGATCTGATAATGGTACAAAATACCCAGATGGTGCCTTCAAGGAGTTATGTGATCAGGAGGACATTGCAAGACACTGGACAGTCAGATCTACACCACAACAAAATAGGATCGTGGAGAGGCTGAACCAAACATTACAGAAGAAAGCAATGAGTATGTGATTTTATGCTGGATTGGGTAAGGAATGGTGGGCAGAAGCGGTGGCTAAAACTTGTTATATTGTAAATCATTCTCCGCATTCTACATTGGATAGTGATACAGCCTATAGGGTGTGGTCAGGGGAGCATGCAAATTATGAGAGGCTCCGGATTTTCGGGTGTACCACCTATTATCACGTCAATGAGAGAAAGCTTGATGCGAGGGCCAAGAAGGCTATATTCTTGGGATATGCAAAGGGTGTAAAAGGCTACTGTCTTTGGTGTACAGAAGATCCGAAGTTCGTGATCAGCAGGGATGTTACCTTTGATGAGAAATCCATGATTGCTAAGGCGCCCATGGATGATGGTGTTGGGACTGTTGGGACTTCAAAGTCTCAAGTTATTGAGATAGAATCTAAAGACCAACTAGGTTCTAGTCATGTTCAAGTGGGAAATCAGGTAGATGATGAGTTTGAGCAGGAAGAGGTTTAGTAGGAGAATACACAAGCACTACAACAGCAGCTCGAGGATAGTTTGGCTTCCACTAGGCCAAGGCGAGCATACAAGCATGTACTGAAGCTAGGGGCTGATCAATCCCTAAAGCACTATTGGCAGGTTAATTTGGTGGAATACGCTCGGTGGAGGAAGATGAGCCGGTCTCCTTCAAGGAAGCTATTCGGGATAAAGATAGTGAGAGTTGGTTGGCTGCGATGGAGGAGGAGATAGAATCTCTTCGGAAGAACTAAACATGGGAGGTGGTCCCATTGCCCGTAAGAAGAAAAGCTATTGGTTGTAAGTGGGTGTATAAGAGAAAGGAAGATCCTTCAGAGCTCGGTGGTATAAGGTATAAGACGAGGCTAGTGGCTAAAGGGTTTGTACAAAGAGAGGGTGTGGATTATAATGAGATATTTTCTCCGATGGTGAAACACACTTCTATTCGAGTGCTATTGAGTATTGTTGCTCATGGTGATCTTGAGCTAAAATAACTCGATGTTAAAACGACCTTCTTGCATGAAGACTTGGATGAAGAGATCTATATGCATCAACCTGAGGGCTACAAGGTTGAGGACAAGGAGAATCATGTGTGTCGCTTGAGGAAGTCACTCTATGGACTGAAGCAATCTCCTCGACAGAAGTATAAGCGATTTGACTCCTTCATGCTGAAGCATGGATTTTTCCAAAGCGATTATGATTGTTGTGTTTACATTCGGAAGCTTCGTGGAGGTGATTATATCTATCTTCTTTTGTATGTGGGTGACATACTTATTGCTTCTAAGAGCAGGATGGAGATAGATAGGCTAAAATCTTAACTTGGTAAATAGTTCGAGATGAAGGACATGGGCGCTGTAAGGAAAATACTGGGTATGGAGATTAGGAGAGAGCGGGCGAATCAGCGATTGTTCTTGAGTCAGAAGGGCTACATAGAGCAGGTGATCACGATGTTCAGGATGCAAAGTGCTAAGTCGATGATGACACCATTCGCCACACACTTCAGGCTTTCAGGTAAACAATCTCTAACTATAACGGAAGAGAAGGCACACATAGAGCGTGTACCTTATGCTAGTGTAGTTGGCAGCTTGATGTACGCAATAGTATGTACACGCTCAGATATTTCACAGGCGGTCAGTGTCATCAGTAGATTCATGGCGAATCCGGGAAAGGCACATTGGGAAGCGGTGAAGTGGGTCCTGAGGTACTTGAAGGGTATCGTTGATACGGGTCTGTGTTTTGGTGGAAAGACATATCAGATTGACGGGTTTATGGACTCAGATTATGCAGACGATCTAGATAGACGGCGATCTACTACTGGTTATGTATTCAGGATACATGGGGCTCCAGTTAGTTGGCGATCGATGTTACATGCTACAGTGGCACTTTCTACTACATAGGCCGAGTACATGACTATAGCGGAGGGAGTGAATCAAACATTGTGATTGTGAGGTCTTCTAGACGATTTGGGGATTGAGCAGGAGAACGTGAACTTGTGGTGCGACAGTCAGAGTGCGATTCACTTGGTGAAGAATCAAGTTCATCATGCTCGTACCAAGCATATCGATGTCATGTATCATTTCGTGCGGAATGTCATAGAGGAAGACGATATTTCTCTCATGAAGGTGCATACGAATGAGAATCCCGCGGACATGTCAACCAAGATGGTCACAGGTAGCAAGTTTAAGCATTGCTTGGACTTGCTTCACATCAGCCCGTGTTGAACTACCCAAGTGGGCATGACCCTTTGAGACGGTGATGGGGTGAGGTGGAGATTATATGGAGAACAAATCCTAAACTACGATTAGCTTGATCCCTATGGAGGGTACGTAGGCAGCCACGGTAAAGTGGCGCAGCTGATTTGGCCTGGTTTGGCCTAGTTTGGTCTGATTTTGGTGTTTCAGATCTCTTTGGTGATGTTCACGATGTTCTTCTGTCCAAATTTTGAGGTTTATCAAATGATGTACCTGGTGGAGAATTGTGAACACGTGGGGGTGGGGGCCACACCCACCCACGTGGGTGTCTCGGGGCACAACACCCGCGAGACACAAAAGTTGTCTCGCGGGAGCGCCGAGTCCAGCGGGAGCGGGAGCAGAAAAAGAAAAAAAATTAGAAAACTGAGATTGTTTGGGCTGATTTTTTTGGTATAAATATGAACTCTTCTTCTAGGGTTTTTTTTAAGAGAAGAAAAAAAAAGGATTTCTTTGGCGGCTAGAAAAAAAAGATCTTGAGGAGAGAGTTTTGGAGAGATTTTACAAGAGAGAGTTCAATTTCTTTTGGGTAAAAAATCAAATCTTCTTCTTTTGAGACGAGCTTGTGGATTGTACAAGTCGTCGGTGTTCTCCTCATAGTGGAATCTCCCCTTCCTCTTCTCCCGTGGACATAGGCAAGTTTACCGAACCACGTAAATCTCGTGTCTTTATTGTTTTCTGGGTGTTGGCTATTGCTTGTAGCGAACCACGTAAATCTCGTGTCTTTATTGTTTTCTGGGTGTTGGCTATTGCTTGTAGGTTCCCTCGACAAGTCAGTCCTAGAACTGATTGTCTTTATTGTTTTCTGGGTGTTGGCTATTGCTTGTAGGTTCCCTCGACAAGTCAGTCCTAGAACTGATTAGAGGAAGAGTGTATATTTTACTTTGTTGAGATATTTTACTTTATATTCTTATTTTCTTAGTAAAACAAGAATATAGAGGTTGACTTGAGCTTTTGTGACGATAAAAGTCAGGGTTTTCTCTAGGGTTATATCCCTTCCGCGGCGTGAGTGCATGACTCTGCGCCCAACAAATTCAATTCAGAAAGAAGGAAGCGACACGTGTACGATGATGCTCAACCCTATCTATCCTCTCCTCTCTATAAATTGGAGTCCTTCTGCTTCCGTAATTGTCATCAGATTAGAGCGTAATTGATACATTTTCGTAAGTGTTTTAGTCCTCTTTATTAATTGAGAGCATAATGTCTTCTTGTGGTGCTTGTTCCTCTGGTTGCAAGTGTGGCAGCGGCTGCACCTGCAGTGGCTGCACCTGGTAATCCCTAATAACACAAAAAATTGTACTAAATTTTTCTTTAAATTTATAATGTTTTATTTCTCTGTGAATTATGATTTTTTTGGTTGTAATCAGATTATTTCTTTTATTTTTAGTATTCATCAGTTCCCCAATTGATCTTGCGAGATGGGGTTTCTTTAAAGATTTAGAACAAGTTCTTCAATCATAAAAGTTTATTATTAAATGGATGATAGATCTTAAAAATAACTGTAATTACTATTTTTTTAAAAAACAAAATTTATAGTTTCTAAATAATGATTTTTCTTGTCCTTTTTTATGCTAATTATTCTTAATTTTTCTTGGTGTTATTATATCTTTTAACCTTTGCACATCATTTGATTCTTACATTTTTTTTCTTTTTCTTTTAAATCTTTTCGACCTTTAGATCAAATTTATTTTGTGTGTGTTCTTCTTTGATTTTATTTTATTTTATTTTTTTGAGTGCAGCTGCAAGAGGAACCCAGTCTTTGCTGAAGAGAGTATCACCACCGCCCAAACCAAGATCCTTGGTGTTGCACCTGAGAAGGGGTTTGTTTCTTTAACCTAGTCTTAATAATTTAAAGTAGAGGATAAATTTCACATAGCTACCGTGAACTTTTTTCACAAAACTACCATGATCTTTTTGAAAGCCTATGATAATTGTCTCTAATAAAAAAATTATAATAGTTTTGTGTAAAACTCCACAAAAATCATGGTAGATTTATGAAGGAAAAATGCTTTATGAAGGAGAATTTTTTTTAAAATATCTTTCTTAAAACTAATTAGCAAATTTGATAAATTTTTTTGTCTTAATTAGTAAAATCCACCACTTTTTGGTTATTGGTGATATCGCAGTAGCTGACTAAAAAGTGATCGATTTTGCATAGCAGATCCTTTAAAAATCACAAGACTAGTAGTCTTGTACAATTAGTGACCACTAATTAATGGTTATCACTAGTAGTCGCATATTTTTAAGCATCTATCTTGCAGAATCGACCATTTTTTGGCCGGTCATGATGTCGTGTCAAAAAAATGGGCGATAAACACTGTTTGATTTTATTTATAAAACTTCAAAAATGGTCTTTATTTATTAATTTTCTCTACATGTCAAATGATTAAACCAAGCAAAATTCACCAAATTCTGATCGAGAATACTAAGTATATCTCTCAAATTTGCAGGTTTGAAGGGTTTGAAGCTGTTGAGGGAGAGAATGGTGGCTGCAAATGCGGATCCAACTGCACCTGTGATCCATGCACCTGCAAATGAGCGAATATGGATCCTTATGTGATGTACTAATATAATAATATTAGTACTTGGAATAATAATGAGGCCATATGCTTCATTGCTAAGGACTGAATGTTCTGTGTGCTTTCCTCTATGTACGCTTTCATGTCTATCTTAATGAAAATAGTTGTGGTTTAGTGTCTAATTCTTTGGCTATCTAAGGAGCATGGACATGAACATAGATATATCGAATTTAATAAATTCTAAGATATTATGTGTTTCATAATATACACGGTAAATTTTTATGAACACATCGACCCCTTGATGCTAAACGAAATTATGTCTTTGTTATCTGAGTGAAATTATATGTTTGTTACCGATATCAGTCACGCATAACATCAACGTGTTGAAAAAAGATCATCCATCATTCACTGTGTTGGAAAATAGTCCTCTGTTCATAAATATTAATTGAGTTAGTTTTCTCCTAAAAACCGCATTTGAAATAGAGTTATTCTACATAAACCATCTTTGATTATCAATTTATATATAAATTATTTTTAAACTGTTTTTCATTATAGTCGACCATCATATCAAGGCTCATTCTTAGGCCAAGTTTTTTCTCCTTCCGATTTTTGTGTAATAATTAGTTGTCAAATAACAAACATATTAGAGATGAATATTCTTAATGGAGGTTATGTGTGATCAATTTAAAAAAAGAAAATTAAAAAGTGGATCAGATGAGCGATTGTAACGAAAAAACCTATAAAGATGATTTATATATAAATTAAAAATTAAAGATGGTTTCTATAAAATGATACATGAAAAAAAAAAGTATAGAATATTCGCTTTCCATAATAACCCTACAGATAACACACGGATAACTTCATCCACACAAGCCTTACTCAGTGTAGAAGCTTCATATATAGAGGAGCTGCTTTAAGCCTTGTCGTCTGAATGATCTTCGGTATTCGTGATTACATAAATCAAAGTTTTCATCATCATAGGACCACAAGCAATCTCCTCTCCTTGCCTTCTGCCACTAAAAATGATAAAGATGGCAGGCAGTTACGCAGTAGCTTTAAACTCAAATAATTAACTTAGTCATCCACTCAAGACGTACGCTTGGTCAAAAAATATATCTAAAAAATGAAAAGGAAGTGGCTCTTGATTCCTTGGCTATCCAAGATCATATACAAGTCAAAGTCTAATATGACATTTGAATGGACGTTTTCCATGTACAGTGATGCAACTGAACCTCAACCAAATGAACAACGAAGGTGTTTAGGGCGCGTCTGGTTGCCTCTTTTAGCGGGGGAAATATGTTGAAAACCTGTCAAAAGTATCAGTTTTGACAGGCTTTTCCCTTCCCCCTTATGCAAACAAACAGCCCCTTAGCCACATGATTATTGTACGTGGGAAAATATCATTCTATCCATATAAATCACGATAACAATATTCTCTCGTCTAAAGTGTGTCATACCACAAGATAAAGCTGATGCTCTTTGTTTTTGAAATGATCTTTGGTTCTCATGAGCCAAAAAGCAAAGGACGCAGCCTCTCCTCGTTGAACTTTCTTGCTAAAAAATGGTGAACAATGGAAGCAGCAGTAGCTTTGAACTCAAAATTTGTGTTATTCAACCGACTTCGATCTTTATTCGTTTGTTTACGAAGTAAACCTGATTCAAAACTTAATTAAAATTGACCCCTTGCGAATTAACCCCCCTCCTAAGATTCCAGCAAAGATGTCGCTCTCCTTCCATCAACATCTACAGCCTTCTCTCCCTGGAAGCTCCAACTGCGTAACGAATCTTTCTTCTGGAAACTTGAATGATACGCATGAAGCCTCTGAGCCTCAGAAGATATTATTCCTACGTTAGGTTGAGATATCATGTGGAAACCGCGTAACGAATAAATTACCTTTTTCGCCTTGGGGTTGACCTCTAAATGACTTTTTTCACAAAGCTGTCACCGACGCCTAAAATTCTTTCATTAAAAGATCATAAACTTTGAAATTTGCAAACGAACTCGACTCTGATCAGCAAAATTTTGGCTAAATCAATGGACAACAAATTCCACACGCATTAGGTGCATGCAGAAAACCATATAAATTGAATATGAAGTCATGAAAATAAATAAATAAATAAATAAAGACTTCTGTTGCTCTTTCCAACAAGAAACTTTTAATAGGATGTACAAGAAATATCTATTTTTCTGAGTTCCCGGCAAAGCTTTGGTCATGAATATAATTAAGCCATGCAAAATTCAAGGTAGAAATCAAGTTTCGTACATAAACAAGCCTTGGTAATGAAACATTTGCTGCATTCTGGACTTCTCTTTTGGACATACTTCCTGCAGGAAAATCATTGAAAAAGTCAGTAAATAGTTGAATTCATAAATTTCTAATGAAAGAAACAACTTTGGAGTAAATATTGTAACAAAAAAAGAAGGTAAAATTTTCAATATAACAAATAATTCAATAGGTATCTAGATTTTCTAGCCCCCCTCACATGCAAAAATATTGAGCTTAGACAGTAAAATTGGAATTAAATGTTTTGCTTGAGCTCGTTCTATTCTATCATCTGTGTATAATTTTCCACGTTGGTCCGTGACAAACTTACTATTTGCATAGAGTGATTCTGGTGAGGAGTCTATGGCTGAGATTTAATGCTCCTCAAAATTCAACATCTTCACCTTCTCCAAGTTGAGGATAAGGGGTTTAAGGCCAAAACCCTTCAAGACTAAAGGAAACAGTAACAAGGAAAAAGAAATGCAAGAGATGAGCAAGGGAAAATATGCATTGATGTTGATTGAAATCATTTCAATGTTACAAATTACATGAAATTATGTAGATTTAGATTGTCCGCCTTAAAACTTTAGAAAAGAACATGTGCACGTCTTCAACCAGTACAACAAAACTTCAGGGGGGAAGAAACAAAGAACACGTTTCTCAGATACACATGAAGCCTCTGAACCTCAAAAGATGTTATTTCCCTGTTAGGTTGAGATATCACATGGAAACCCCGTAATGAATAAATTAGTTATCTTTTTCGCTCCAGGGTTGACCTCTAAACTAAGGTTAAAATAGTAATATCGTATACTATGAAAATAGTTTATGAAGGTGTAAATATCTATACCCTCATAATACGGAATGTATCCACAACTAACCCTTCAAAATAATTAATCATAGAATTGAAAGTAGGAATTTTTTTACAACACTATCATCGACGTCTAATATTATTTCATTAAATGATCATAAACTTTAAAAATTGTGAACGACTTTGAAACTAATCAGCAAAATTTTGGCTAAATGATGGTCAGCTAACTTTCTCATGACCTAACAAATATTTATTGCAAATCCTATACAATAAATTCCATAAGCGTTAGATGCATGCAGATACCATATGAATAGAAGATGAAGTAAGTTTCATACAAAAATAAGCCTTGGTGATGAAAAATTTACTGCATTTTGAACTTCTCTTTTGGA